CGACGTTTCACGATCTAGGGATGTTTGGTTTACCAGGTACTTGCCAGGATAACGAACAGCGACGACTGATTTGGAATTTCAACGGCGCAGGATGTTAACACGATAAAATTCACTTTGACATTTGTTCGCAACGATGTTTAGACGTTTTCATTGATATCCAACATGGCCGCTTCTCGCACGTACTCGATATATACGTCAGCTGCTTGTACTGCACTAGTCATACACTGCACTAACGTCTTCTTATAAAGTATCATTGATCTTATACAGAATACTAAAAATCGTCACGGTATTTCTCACGTCGTCAACGCTACCGAAACTAACGACTCGTCAGACACTGCGTGACTCAATTGCGTCACTATGCAGTCTCGTCCGTAACGGCGGGTTCATAAAGGCGATTTAAACTGAAATTCTTAACGCACGAAATTACCGTTTTAAAAAATACTTTTTGATCCGTGAGTAAATTTCTGGGTACTTAAAAAGCATCTAAAGTTCCATGCAATTGTTTTCATGTAACGGGTGTTCAAAAAAAAAGGAGATACAAATTGCGGGAGAACGGTGGAGGAATTAAGGTCGGGAGGAAGTTCGCAAGAATTCAGAATCTTCGTCTCATAGAAACACTCCATTCGTCGTGGCTGTTGGTTTATTCTCTATTTTATTTTTCTCTCTCCCCCCTCCACCAACTCTCTCTCTCTCTCTCTCTCTCTCTCTCTCTCTCTCTCTCTCTCTCTCTCTCTCTCTCTCTTTTCTTCAAGAATATCCCAACACAACAAGCACGCTTCGTACTCTGAGAAAGGAAAGCAGACTCTTCTTTGTCAAGACACCATTGTTTTCGGATGGGAACGCTCCTGAGTGCCTGCCGTGATATTTCCTAAGACTTTCCTGAGACAGGAACGACAATAAAGATGTATTTTTATGATAAGATCTCAAGATGCACCTAGCAAAAATGATCACGAATCCCGCATCTCTAAGAAAATTCTCCATATAATATATCAAACAACATTCAGATACCCAGACATGATATTTCTGTAAAAAAAATTTTTTTACCACTAATTATGAAACCAACAAAATTATTCAAAAGACGAAATTTACGACTGCTCTTGTAAACCGAAACTCTGTTACATACCATCCACATGTATATTCTTTAGATCGAGGAGCGACGGTGCTGCCACCACTCGGCGCCAAAGGGCCCCGACGGCGCGTTGTGTTTCTCTCGTCCGTGTCACTAATTTATTACAAAAATATCCAGTAATTTCTCCGAATGCACGAATATCTACGAGAGACATCGTTCACCCGGGACACAGAGACGATTTACGATACGAGGTTAGGCTTTTGTAGAACGAGCTAATGCACGAGTGTCTTGGATCGAGCGTTTCTTCTCCGTCGACTTTTTTCTACCTAGACTCTCTCCAGTTTCTTGTCCCTCCTTCCCACTACCCTCCTCATCCACCGCCAGTAAACAGACTAAGCCATTACCATCCCTGAAATCCATTCAATGTTAATGAAACCAAAGTGCCACCGCGTAGCATCGACATTACCCTTGTAGATCTGCCGCTTTACGAAGCTAATAAGATCGGCTAAATATCAAGTCATACGTACACAATTGTTACGTGACGCAAGCAAGAACTAATTTCACGAAATAAACATTAAAATACCAATATATCTTTTTCAATGTCGTAATCTCTGCTCTAATTTACTATACCAATATAGCCAGCATACAGTATCCTTACTGTTCTTTAAATTCCTGAAGAATTTCAAACGAGCTCCGTTAAGAACTTCTTCCCAAGCTATAATACTTCCTGCTGAATTCTTGACAAGGTAGCGACTAAGAAACGGCAGATCTGACACGCACAGTTTGTATACATGGAGTATAGATATACAGTGCTCAAATTGAATGACTGTATACATAGACATATAGATACAGATATACAAGTAAATTAACGCAAAGGAACGCCAGCTCAGAAGGCAAAAGCAAAACCGGTCAGAACTTCCGTCGCTCTGGGCGCCGAGCGTCGACAGAAAGAACAGATGGAATTCGATTCGGTAGCAAGAAGAATACGTGTCCTGAAGCAGCGGGTAATTACAGTAAGGAAAGAGCAGATGATACGAGAAGCGATAAGAGACTAACCGGAAAAATGCCTCACGATAATTTACCCGTCTCTAAGAAATGTTTTAACACGAAGGTTTGAAAAGAGCGGGAAAAAAAATATTTTTAAAAAATTCCATTCTTTTTCTCTAGAAAGTTAACGAAAATTTTTCCAGACAATTAATTGATTCTTTTTTTGTTATATTATATGATTGTTCTTATCCGTGTTTTTTATTTTATTTTTTTTTTCAATACAGGTAAACAATGCCAACGTGGCCCTCTATTTTCCTCCTGTCGGTTTCTATCGGTACCTACGTAGGTATCATTCTATTCTGGTACATCCTGAGCTATGCAGCCTGCATAGAACTACGTTTCCTGTTCGGCCTGCGACTCTACCGAGCCTGGGATATATGCGTGGACGTATGCACGTGCGTCTATCTAACGCATGACAGGAGTAGCGTGCGACTGTGTCGCCTCTGCTTGACTCTTGTTTATTATAGTATCGACGTAACGCGCACATGAGAACTCGACGATGCCTGGGACATGAGAGACTCTGGTAAATTAATTTTTTTATATTGCAACTGCACTTGGTCGTTTCACTTCCGTTTTGTCGTGGAAGCACGCAGGTGCGTAGAAATCCAACACAGGTAGATTTTGATTGGTATAACGGTGCTGGGTAACGATCTAATTATAGGTATATGTATATGTAAAAATTAAAAAATTAAAAATGTAATTAATTAGTAAATATTTATGATAAATAATTAAAGAATTTCAAGAATCAACAAAAAAAAAACTCTTTCTTCTCACCGATTGTCCGTGGTCCAGTAGCTAAACAAGTCACAATAAAAATGATACATTCATCTCGAGGGAGCTATCCGGGATAGACGTTTGAAAAATCGATGAGCTTGCGTCGCGACTCAAGTTAACAACTTCGGAAAATATAAATAGGTATTTCGTTACAAGAGGGTCAACGGCCATCACCGTAAAGCCACAGTGTTTTTGTACGGGTCGTATAAACTGTTACGTAGTGGCTCCCCTTGTTTCTAAGACGTGGATTGATATCACGGGTATCTGGATGTATGCTAATCTAAAAACAGCATCGCGTATTGCAATGCGTTTCTGAATGCGTATGTCTTAGGACAGAGAGTGACGTATCGATCGACATCTTGTACAAACGGCGAGGCGAGATCGCAGGTGGCACTGGAAAGTTAAACGTGGGCCGGTTGAACGTAGGTGGATTAGACGAGTGGTAAAAATCATGAAATCGATGTTTCTTTCTCACCTTTCGAAAATAAAGTTTTCGTTGGGTAAGGTCACGCCCACGTGTCTCTGTGCCGTACATGAACTGTACATATATTGCCCAACAAGTGGGCAGCTCGAATGGTCGACTGAAAAGTCAATTTCCTTCTAGCGTAGGACGTAGCGTTAGGCAGACGTATAATCGATACTCTTGATATATCGATACTTTTTCAAATTTCTGTAGACGAGACATTTTTATTTTAGTTGCACGTGTCACGACTGCAGACAGTTGTAAAGTGGGCTTCGTATTGATTTTTTATTGATTTTTTTTTAACTGGACATAATATTTTTTTTGTATACTTTTTTGTACATTCGGTATTCCCCACTGGAGGATACGATCTGAGTTATGAAGGCCACATCCTGCATACGATATTTTTCTAGGGATGGAATCCTGAAGGGTTGTTCTAGGAGTTGCTACTGGATTTACGTATCTTTATGTTGGTATATATTTAACCTCGACTGTAGGTATTACAGATGGTGGATTTGTGTTCTTTTGTGGAAATTTTAAGGCGATGCATTTCAGATAACTTTTCCTGGTCCGAGTTGTATAGGCTGACCATGTCCGTGGAATTGTCTTTCGTGATCGATTCGTAGGAATTGTCACAGCTCCTGTAGGGTTCCAGTATTCGCATGGAATTTTGATCGATACCAATTCAGTAAAACGACTACCGACAAAGACAGTGGGTTTTTAGGGTTCATTAGACGGAACTGAAGTGTTCAGGTCGTTTCGAGAAGGAGTGGATCAAAGAGCAAATTAGTAAAGATATGTAACGAGCTTTCTTTATATTTAATTTAAATTTGGCGCCATTAGAATTTTCTCTTATTTTCACGTATACGTTGTAAATAGTTTTTTTTTTTACAAATTTTACTAATATACTTAACGTCGGTAGTTCTCACACTTTATGGTTCTCGTGAGGGTAACGTGTCTCACGTAAAACGGGGTTAGTACCCCCGGACATCTCGAGGGACGAAGTAATAAAAATGTGTAGTCCGACGCACGTAACGTCGTCAAGACACTCGTAGGACATTATGTTTTCATGTTCTGTTCGATAGGTGCATGCTGGATGCAGTGGAATTACCAATCATTACTATGCAGTTCACGATCCTCACGACTACAACGGTTTTCTCGCAACGCTCTTTCAAACTATCCTGTGTCCTTAACTGTCGTTTAGACAGCCCAAGGCCTTCGGTGATCCTTGGAATTAAGATAGGGTGACGGAATAAAAGTTCAATGATACAGAATCCAGCATACCATATTCCTAATTGTGGTTTGGAACAATTCTTTCGATATCCATTGTCAGTATTGAAATGAAATACGAATGAAATTATTGATTTGTAACTTTTTAACTATGAAGTTTTATAAAACTTATTAGAAAATTTGTATACAGTGATCGTGTCTAATGTGGCGTGGAGTTGCAAAACACGCGACTACACAGTGTGCAAGAAAAATCTAAGAAACCTCAACGATAAGTATTACCGACCGCTGGTATACTAAATCCTTACATCATCTGTTAATACCAGCTTCGACTCACAGGGGGCAGCATTCTCGATGATGCGTCAATATGTCAGATTTTCGCGGCACCGAACACATATCTCTAGTCTATTTATCCTTCGTTAACGATAGTAGATATCTTGTCTATAACGTCAATCGATAATTGCTTGAAAAGTAAATGGAAATTCGTAACACGAATCCATAAACTCTTGTTCGTAGCTCAAGATCACAGAGTGCGCTCATTTCGTAAAACACAGTGTCGCCTCCAGACGTCGAATCCTGTATGCTTGAAGAGCCTAACAGACAGTGAGAAAATGTTCGTAGGTTTCTGGATGGTGCGAGTGGCGGTGCGTGCGTGCGATGAGTGTGTCGTGAATATTTGCAGGTGGTGATCGTGAACGCTCGGTGCATTCGTAACAGGTATATCCCCGAGGTGGTTCGACGGCGATTAAGGAGTACGTCCAAGGGTTGCCATTCCCAGGGCGTATCCCGAAATCGTGTGAAAACGATCATCTAGATACAGGAGGGGACCGATTCTGCGCGTGTTTCATCTATTAGTCGCACAGCGGAACGAAGAGGGAACCTTACTAAAAGCATTTGACAAGTGACCCACTGTAAGCGCGCAGTGTCCCCTCTGAACGTAGTGCGGTGGTCCATTGATCCTGGATAAAATGTCCGATTACGCATGAACCAAGAGAGCTAATACATTAGTTCGCGGTGATGCTGAGAGATTGTTAGTATCAAAAGTGGAAAGTTCAGGGGCAGTGTTGCTGGTTGGCTTTGTGAAATTGTTTATCGGTGGTTATCGGTACTGAACCGCTTGGCCAATGTGCGACTCGGCCGACGCTTACGTGCAGAAGCTAAGTTACCTCCAGCTGGGGGATGAGTCAGGGGAAGGAGTCATCGGGGTCGGGCGTGTCTCAGGATCGCGACCCGAGGCCCAGGTGCCCGTCTCGAGGAACCCCAGGGACGTGCGTGGGCCCCGTCCTCTTGGGGCCATTGAAAGCTTCATTGAAGGGGGCGCTTCCGAGAGCAGACAACCACCACCCGACTACAAGATGTACGAGCGTGAAAACATAATAGCTGCTTCGAGATTTGCTACTCCTAAGCCTGTCGAGCAGATAGGTCTGCAGCAGCAGCAGCAACATCAAAGTCGTCCTGGACAACAGGCACCGGTTTATGAGAATATCGAGTACTACCCTCAGAATCAGGCTCATCCACCCTATTATCATCCTGTAGAATCGCGCAAGAGCCCTAGAGGAAGTCCTCGAGGTTCTGTGGCTGGGGAGGCTTACGACTCTGGGTTCAGAAAAGCTCAACCTCAGGTACCGCCTGGGAATCGTTATCAGACAGCATCACCAGCTAAGGAACTACCACCTTACGAGGCGCCGCCCGTCTACGAGAATATTCAGGAAGTACATTTTTCTGATTCTCAGAACAAACCCGCCCCGCAGGTACCTAACTTTTATCACCCTGCTACCATTAATGGTGGAGATTACGTAGTGATGACTGGTAAACTAGGTCAGGCTCAAAGAAATTCGCAGCAGCGTATCCTGGGACAAAGTCGTGCTCAAAGTTTCGACGGTTCCAGCTTAACCCGGGGTACCTGCAACGTCGATCCAGCTTCTACCCTGAGATATCAAACGTCCACGAACTCTGATACTCAAGCTTCCAGAAGCGCATACGTACCACCCTCTGAACTACAGACTAATCGAAATTTTGGTTACTCGCCGGAACAGCACTCTCCACGTTCAGGACTTCCCTACCACAGTGAATCCCCGCCCATCCGCCTCCCACCGGAACCCCATCATTATCGCAGTAATGTGGTCGATAATACCCAGCAAGGCTATCGACCACCTCAACCCGACAACGGACAAGGCTTCCGTCAGGAGAATCCACCACTGTACAAGCAGTATGTTGATTCTGCTAATAGGAGTACCGGTGTGAACTACGCCGGAGATTCATCAGCCAGAAACTCACCAGTTTACAACACATCATCCCGTGGAGAGATATCGGCCTGCAGGAATTCACCGGTGTACTCTTCAAACCGTTCCAACATCCCACAAAATGATAGAAATTATCATAATCAGGATTGCCGTGGAGATTTTCCACCCAGGAACTCTCCTATTTACTCCTCCAACCGTTCCGATCAAATGAGAACAGTTCAGCCCCAGATTGAACCTGGTGAACAATCCAGTCTAAGAAATTCACCAATGTTCTCACCTACCAGACCAGATCAAATAAGAATATCCAATCCGCAGAACGACAGAGGATTTGCCGAGACATCAGAAACACTAGGAACGCGAAATTCTCCTATATACTCACCTAGCAGAGACATGAGGATAGCTGCTCCTCATAATAACTCCAGGAACTCCCCGAAGACGAGTCCTACTCATGCTCAACTAGCACCAGACATAACTCATAGTTCTATCAGTTCACCAAGACATTGCTCCACGGACAATCCTGTACGGGGACTAGTTCATGCACCTGTCACTAGTGCGTCCACTGCTCCAGATGATCCTGGTATTCACGGTCCTAGGATCACGAGCCTGCCACCAGGTGTTACCAGTGGAGTAGCTGGACCCGTCTTTCTCAACGCTGGCGTACCCATGCTGCAAAGGACACCTGAACCCGTGGCTCACGTTCAGAAATCCGTTAGTCCACCCATAAAACCATCTCCTGGGAAAGGACTCTTACCTTATAACGTTACACCACCACGACCATCTGTAAGGATCTTTTTAAATTAACTATACCTACACTCATGGGTCCTCTATTACTTACGCAATGTCCAGAAGGACAAAGACGTGTTCACTGTTGCGCTATAAAATTATTCTTCAGGTCAGATGATGATTTCATTGCTCCTTTATGATCTAGCGCTACTTGTATAACGGGTGGCACTACTTTTCCGTACGAGACTATTATACGCTATCATGCTACTACATGGTATAGTGAAAAATATTGTGCAGCATTATCATGTGAAAATTGATAACACGTCTATTAAACCAACTACTGTCAGTATTGATATAGCTTCTGTTAATATTGACGCAGTACAGTTTCCTTATTTATCTATTTTCTGAGAACTTGACCAAATTTTATCTATAATATTTCTGAAACTTTTTTGTTGGTACGTTTTTGTTGGTGGTCTCGTGATAGAGAAAAGTATTATTGATGGTTATTGAAGAAAGTCCGTACAGATCATACGACTCGCAGTCTCGAAAGTCCAAAACTTCTCTCATTAAAAATATCTTCTCACCTCAGTCGTAGAAAAAGATAAAATTATTCTCACCCGATGCTCCTTTCGAAACTAGCAAAAGAGACACAAAATCCAAGCATAAATTAACATACGATATTAAACTCCATGACGTTGAAACCTACACAAATTTCTTGGCAAGCAGGGACCAACGGAGGCTGAAAGAAAGATCGAGGAGTTAACCCGACAGCTGGAGGAAGAAATGGAGAAACAGGAAGAGGAGGGAGAATACTTTGGTGAGGATCTACCTATCGGCAATAATAAAAAATCAGAATGAATCTTTTAAGATCCTTTACCGTTATCTGTAGATGAGATCATCCATTGATTCTCTCTGCAGGATTCAGACTCTAATGTGGTACCCGGTTTATAATTAGGAATAATTTCATCCCCCATCATAATTGCAGTTTTTAGATGACATTCACATGACGTTTCTGGAATTTATACCAAACAATACAACGTATATCATCTTTGAACCGAAATAGCACAGGATTCTGGATTTAGTCCAGAATTCAATTTATTTATTGTTGCTGGTTTTTCATTTACTCGTCGAAGTTCCAGCAGTTTAGTTTAGACCCAACATAAAACGTACAGCATATATCAACGACCATTACGTTTCACGTTATAATGTACTGTATACACGTCGCTCTAGTCGTACGACTAGTCAGTCTGTGGGTCGTTGCTGCAGTAACTAATCTCGTTATAGATAGACCAGTTGGACCCGTTGCTGAATACTAGTTTAGTTCGCGAGTGTTTTGCTCGGGGAAACTAAGTCGTGGAATTTCCCTAATAAATAAGAATTTAACTAATTACGTGAATTGTCTCATTAAACGTAATTTCAAAGGCTTTGTTCAATTGTCACTAAAGTTTTTTTTACTACTTTGTTACTTAATCCATGCAAATCTATCGTTGCGATGGCGGGTCCTGTTTTGCCTATCGCCAGCTGTGAGTCTATTATTAATTCTCTGCGATTAGACACAACAACTCGTTGAACTTGTTTAGAGTACGTCTCTTCTTTATATAGTGTAAAAAGTGGAACTGTGTTTGGAGAATTGATGTTATGAATATTTTCTAAAATGTTTCACAAAGCTTTATTTTCTTTTTCTTTTTTAGGTATATGTCATACTTGCGGTGAGAAAGTAACTGGAGCTGGACAAGCTTGTCAGGCTATGGGAAATCTTTATCATACGAATTGTTTCATTTGTTGTTCCTGTGGTAGAGCACTGCGTGGCAAAGCATTTTACAATGTCCATGGAAGGGTATACTGCGAAGAAGATTATTTGGTAAGTATTCGAAGACTCTGATAAAATAAAAATAAATAATCTGTCTCTGTGATTTTCAGTATTCTGGTTTTCAACAAACAGCAGAAAAATGTGCGATATGCGGTCATCTTATAATGGAAATGGTGAGTTTGGAAATTTTTCAAAATTATCTACTGTCATGGCACCATACTGAAAAGCCTTTTTTCAGATATTACAAGCCATGGGTAAATCCTATCATCCAGGATGCTTCAGATGTTGTGTTTGCAACGAATGTCTGGACGGTGTACCCTTTACTGTGGACGTGGACAATAAAATTTATTGCGTTAATGATTATCACAGAATGTTCGCTCCGAAATGTGCATCCTGTGGCAAAGGGATAACGCCAGTTGAGGTAATTAAATGAAATTCAATATGTATGTAAGTTCACCTATCACAGTATAACATTCTTTCACTTTATCAGGGCACGGAAGAGACGGTCAGAGTAGTTTCCATGGACAAAGACTTCCACGTGGATTGTTACGTCTGCGAAGATTGTGGAATGCAACTGACCGATGAACCCGACAAAAGGTGCTACCCACTGGAAGGTAGACTTATGTGTAGGGCGTGTCACATCCAACGCATATCCCACACACAACCTAGAGCACCGCAGCCAGTATCGGCGAGCTATCAGTTTATGGGATAAAGTGAGAGCGAGAGAGAGAAACAGAGTAGATCAATAAGAATCGAAAAGAAATGGAAAAATCCTGCGCACGAGAAGTGCCATCCGCGATTCACTGTTCGAAAACTAGAGAAGCAAAGAGCAGGAAGTGCAAGACGCAACTAATCGGTACCAAGATAGACATCAGACTTTTGTATTCATTTATTCAAAGAGTGACAGTAATTTCTTTAACTTCACTAATCTTTTAACACGACAGACTTAATGCTTTTTTTTAAATTTAAAACTGCTTTTATATGTGTCTGTTTCAACTTTACAGTTATTTCTCTGACTTTCTCTTGTATTGGGAGTACGCATCCTCTTCTTCGTCCTGGTATCACTCATTTCATTTAAACAAAATCAATCGAACCAGCTAGACGACGTGCTACACACGGTTATGATAATTATGATTAATTGTAATTAGAAAGCTCCTACATAAACGGTGACCAAGTACCTCGTCTTGTGTACCGTTAAATTTATCGGCATTGGGTATCTTATACCCTCGCATTGTCCACCGTTATGCCCGCAAGACATGTGATGAAAATGGCGCGAAACTACTTGCTTGTAAAACGTTAACTTGTCGCTTTGATGCATCCCGTATGTATGTTAAAGTATTGACTCTACTATACCACATATGTACATACAATATACAGGGTGGACAGATAACAGTCCTGTATAAATATTTATACATGCGCAAATATTTATTGCCTAAGATACTCCCAATGATATAAATGGTATCATCAGTGAAGGATGTGCGAGTTGCGCAGGCAACTGTGATATAATAGCATAAAGTATTTTCTTGTTGATAAAATCTTACTATCATACCTTAATGGGGTGTAAATAGTTCCATTATTGTTGTTACTATTATTATTATTAACTATTGTTAGACTATTTAAGCTTGAATTACACATGTACGTGTTGTCGTCGCGTAAATTTGTCCATTGTCTAGGCTATTGGAAATATGTCATAGATACAATAAGTGGAATCTTGCATATAAGACAAGGAGGGATCGAATTACTGGATTATGATTGACAATATTTATTAGCTGAGATATGAATTTACAAGGATATATGAAAACTCTGAGTTGGATTTTTTATCTAATTTTTACGTTTCTTAAAATGAAATTTGGAATATGGAGCGTTTGATAGAAAAAATATTGAAATCTACCAAGTTCATAAAGGAATTAAATTAATTATAGTGAACTACGCACAAATGAAGCTGCCAAAAAAAATACTAATTATTCTTTCCTTCGGGATTAGGAGACTCGTACGTTTTCTAGGTATAGTCGTTGAATAGGACGTATTGTGTAGATAAAAAGTACAACTTTTATTTAAACATATGTATGGTACACGCAAGGTGAATGCCACTGGTTAATAAATACCAATAAACCTTATGAGAATCCACGAGGATGTTTTTTTTTTCAGTTAGGAAAAAAAAGAAAGGAAGAAGTCATGATTGGAGTCAAAGACCAATCAATGACAGCATTAAACTTCTTTAATAGGCTCTAGAGACTTTACAAGTAGGAAACGATAGTACATTTACAAGAGGCCAGACTTTTAGTAATCGATAGATATTAAATCTTTAATTATAATGCATTTGTATCCCGGTATGGTCATCTGAGACATATCTCAGTGAACCTTAAGTTTTTGGCGGTTCAGTTTGTTGTTCCTCCTTGTACTCTGGTTTCGCGTACTTTGCCTTGTGCTCCTCGGCACATTTGCGCGACTGCGCTTCCTGAAAAATGTAGAGAAAATTTTTATTTAATTACATTCAGGATAAGTAATATGAGATAGATCTTATGTTCGTACGTGCTCTGTAAGGCTGGTTCTAGTCTACATAATTATTGAGAGTAGAAAATTATAAACTTTGTTTAATAGATATAAAGTGGGTGATGAAAATTTTGCAATATTTCCATTTGATTTGTAACAAGCACACTAGAATCATAACTCAAGGAACCTACGTAGAATCTTTTGGGCTGGCTGCATCATGGGTGTGCGTGTAAACAGACAAAGAAGACTAAGTTCCAGCTAAAAAATGCTGACGAACTTAATGCCACTGGATTTTTGTTATTCTTTAGATTTTTTCTATCTATAAAGAGTTTGTATAACTTACTTTGTTGGTTAGATTCGATCGTGGCTTGAACTTTAAATATCCCCATCTATTAAGGTAGCGAATACTTAGAGTTGTACCTCCTGTGTTCACAAATAAATTTTTTTTATTAAAAAGAGTCAATGTATTTAATAGATTTGTATTACATGGTAAACTAACCGACTGTAATAGTGTATCGGAGTGGGGTAAATACTTTATATAGGGCATATGCGACAGCCCAGTGTCCAGCACTGGAACCACGTAACATCTCCAGGTACTTTTCGCTCAGCTTCATGTACTCCATAATTCCCACAATGTCGACTCCACTAGAAGAACACGTCGTAACCATCGCGTGTCCCTTTAGGAGAGACAAGTGGACATAAGGATTGTTATTTCGGTGTACCTACTTCTTAGCAGCAATGTAAAACAAGGACATCCACCCAATAGAAGTGATTACATGCACAGGAATAAGAATATGCCAGTAATCCTTTGTCATCTGCTTCATCCTTTGAAAAACTGATTGCTTCTGAACTGGAGGAGGAGTATAACAGTCTTTATTTGCTTCTGCTGAGTAGCTACGGTGTATGGTCCACACAGCATTTTTTAAATAATTGCCACTAAGAAACGTTCTATGTGGATGAACATAATTCGTTAGTGCAAAGTAGTTTGGGTTGATCCTACAATGAGTATATGTCTCTGAAAAAGATAGGGATTACAATCACAAATTAATTAAGCTTCAATCTATACTATATATAATCTACCATAATTATAACACAAAAACGCTGCTAACCTACCAAGTAAGTTGCTATAAAATTCATTTTGGCACCGGGTAGTCGCCAATGAAGCGGCAGGCAAAAATGTCGTTGAAGTTCGCAACAAAAGACTCGACAGCCTTGTGGCCCGTACCAAAATTAATTCCATATTCAAAATTAAGGTCTCTGTACTCTTTCAGATTCTTGTCATGGCTTCTAAAACATAAAAGAAAATAATTATCTTATATACACTGCAAACGCGAGGGCTATTAGAACGAACAACTGTTAACTCACTTGAGCTATCAATTTCCCACTGCAGCTCCTGCGTTCTTTTGATACTGTTAATAATATAAAAATCTACTCCAAAATACACTCACATTTCTTGTAGAAATTCAACGTGGTACACCTCACCGACTGTCTTCAATTCATAAGAATTGCCAACCCAACTGTGAAGAAGTGATGATACATCAAGCTGCTTCGAATCCCGTGAAGAAATCCGCAGGACGAATGGAACATTGATTTTTTGTAAAGAAGTAGGATATTCAAGAGATGTCACGTAAATATATGTTATTTCGACAGTTGGCCTCGATGTATCGGATTAAATGTTTATTATATAAAAGAATTTTTGCAGGTAAATGCTAAGTTATGCAAGCTGCAGCTTGCACTTCTTGAAAGAACACATGAGAGCAGCCATGTTCAACCTTTCTTTTTAGCAACGCGTGTTGCAATCATTGCTGCCGGACCGGCAAATAATCGAAAAATTGATATAGATTCAGTGTAATTGATAAAAATCAATTATAAAGATGACTCTAATAACGATATTAAAAGGTCACGTTAATTTACGACGATTGTCACGACTGCCTCCTTGCATTTTTGAGGTATAAAGTTATAGTTTCTTATTTGACTTCCTGAGGTTAGGTTGTTGTAATACAGCAGATTATTAAACATAATTTCATTGCTTTAGAATTATACACGATGTATGGCATCATTTACGAAATATGCTGAGCATAAGCCTTTGGAGAAAATTAGAAATATTGGTATATCTGCTCATATTGACTCTGGTAAAACTACATTGACTGAACGTATATTATATTATACTGGTCGAATCGAACAAATGCATGAAGTAAGTATGTGAGACTATATTATGATATGTGAAATAATAATTGAGAATACAATGAACAATTCTTATTAAATAGGTCAGAGGTAAGGACAATGTTGGAGCAACTATGGATAGTATGGAATTGGAAAGGCAACGTGGTATTACTATTCAATCTGCTGCAACATATACAATCTGGAAAGATCATAATATTAATATTATTGACACCCCTGGGCATGTGGATTTCACAGTTGAAGTAGAGAGAGCTCTTCGTGTTTTGGATGGAGCAATTTTAGTACTGTGTGCAGTTGGTGGAGTTCAATCTCAAACATTAACTGTGAATCGGCAAATGAAAAGATATAATGTACCTTGTCTAGCGTTTATTAACAAATTAGATAGAATGGGTGCGAATCCTTATAGAGTATTGCATCAGATGCGTTCTAAAATGCACCACAATGCAGCATTCATTCAATTACCTATTGGTCTAGAGGGAGAGACTAAGGGGTTGATCGATCTGATTACGCAGAAAGCAATATACTTTGAGGGTGAATATGGAGAAGTTATTAGACAAGATGAAATTCCAAAAGATATGAGAACCGAAGCAGACGAGAGCCATCAAGAACTCATTGAACATTTGAGTAACGCCGACGAAATACTCGGTGAATTATTTCTCAATGAATCTAAACCCACTGAAAAAGATCTCACGGATGCAATCAGAAGAACCTGTATAAAAAGAACATTCACACCAGTTCTTGTGGGTACTGCCTTAAAGAATAAAGGAGTTCAGCCTCTACTGGATGCAGTGATAGACTATTTACCAAATCCTGGTGAGGTCGAAAATTTAGCTAATAAAGAGAAGCAAGGGTAAGTATCATTGGTTATAGTGTCTTTGAACAATCCTAATCTAGTAAAAATAATATTTTTATACAGAGAAGAACCAATAAAAGTCGTTTTAGACTCGGCACGTAATGACAAAAAATCATTTGTCGGTCTGGCATTTAAATTGGAAGCAGGGCGTTTTGGTCAATTGACCTATTTTCGTTGTTATCAAGGCATGTTGAAGAAAGGCGACACCATTTTCAATACAAGAACAAATAAAAAGGTAACGGCAGGTTACACTTACTTTTTGATTCCTGACTGTCGACCTGCCTGATTTAAATTTGACTCAAACTGAATTACGCAAATAAACAGGTTCGCATTGCAAGACTTGTACGCTTGCATTCAAATCAAATGGAAGATGTACATGAAGTTTATGCCGGTGACATTTTTGCCTTATTCGGCGTTGATTGTGCCTCTGGTGATACTTTCGTCACAGACAATAAATTGGATTTATCGATGGAATCCATTTTCGTGCCGGATCCGGTAGTCTCCATGTCTATTCAAGCCAAGAATAGTAAGGACCGCGATAATTTCGCTAAAGGAATAGCAAGGTTTACCAAAGAAGATCCAACCTTCCGATTCTTCTATGACCCTGACAGTAAGGTGAGAGCATATAAGTGAATTAAATAAGTAATTCATAACAGGATAAAGTGTATGATCGACAAAACTACTTTATTCCTTTATAATTTAGGAAACTCTCGTCTCTGGAATGGGAGAATTACACCTGGACATTTATGCTCAGCGTATGGAACGTGAATATGCTTGTCCAGTAATACTTGGAAAACCTAAAGTTGCTTTCAGGGAAACCCTAACCGAACCTTGCGAGTTTGATTATCTTCATAAAAAGCAATCTGGTGGTGCAGGACAATTTGCTCGCGTATCCGGTATCATGGAACCACTTCCACCGCATGAAAATACCAAACTAGAATTCTCAGATGAAACCACCGGCACTAACGTACCAAAACAGTTTATCCCGGGTGCCGAGAAAGGATTCAGGCAGATGTGCGAGAAGGGACTGTTAACTGGACACAAATTAGCTGGTATCAAATTCCGTCTGATAGACGGAGCTCATCATATTGTGGATTCATCCGAGCTTGCGTTCAATCTAGCTGCTCAGGGTGCCGTCAGGGAAGTTTTCGAAAGAGGAAATTGGTCAATCTTAGAACCAATAATGCTGGTTGAGGTGACTGCGCCAGAGGAATTTCAAGGAACAGTTATTGGTCAGCTAACTAAACGGAAGGGTGTCATAACTGGCACCGACGGTAACGAGGGTTGGTTCACAATCTGTGCTGAAGTTCCCCTGAACGATATGTTTGGCTATGTTGGTGAGCTGCGTTCTAGTACCCAGGGTAAGGGTGAATTCTCAATGGAATATTCAAGATACAGTCCATGTACAATGGAAGTGCAAGAAGAGCTTGTACGACGATACCAAGAATCACTTAGTAGTAATGTTCAGAAAAAGAAGAATTAATTTGACACTTCGTAGCTTTGAATTCTCCATTATTCCTCATGGAAGTATAGGACCGAACATGAACAAACTTCCTGAGTACCTAGCACATAATTCAGAATGAAAGAGAGTTGATGAATGCTTATAAGTATATGAAATATTTAATTTTTATATCCAGCTATTATAGTCGCCAACCAAACACCGCAATTCAGGATATCAGAATGAATGAGTATAGTCAAATGTAATTAATAGTTAATTGTAAATAATCACAGTCGATCCGTATTATAAGATGTATAATAAAAAAACACCTAGTAGTATTTCAACACTTTCTTGAACAATATTTCTGTTCCACAATGTTTATTCATTTCTAGACAACATAAGAGACCCTCTATAGCAAAATCAAGTCATTGACTGCGATGGCGCTGCCGTCGTTCATCGTTCCTTCCAATAGGAAACCTGACCAGTCCTAGAGAGTAATGGTAGTGCGCTGGCGCCCGTGTTTCGAGGAGATCTGTACTCGTCGTCCTGAAGGAACGAGACAAGAAGAAGCGAGTTCTGTGCCTCGCGTGTGTTCAGTGTCCGAAAAATGTAACATGGCGATGGTCGCGTCAAACATGAGCGGTCACATACAAAAACAGCTAACCCGCAGCCTGGAGAGGATCCTTGAGGAGGCACATCTAAGCGGCGAGCTCAAGCTGAGCGGTCGTAAACTCAAGGATTTTCCGCAGGTTGGGAAAACCGGCTCGAAATACAACCTCCAGGACACGGTGATAGCTGGTGAGTCCCCTTGACTTATGCTACGCGAAAGAATCTTTATTACCTTTCATAATCAGCTTGGATTATCCTGTTTATGTTATGGTGATCTTCACCGATGACTTAATTCCTAAGGAATTTTTGAACGCATCGATGATCTCTACTTCATCGTCCTTTATAGCTAACCTCAATTATTTGTTTATGTACACAATGCGTACTACGATGCGTCAACTTGTATTGAGTTTATGAAAATGATGGGCACCAAGCAATTTTAGCTTTCACTCTGATATACTATCATCAATGGACGTTTTATATTTAAAAAGAAATTAAATAGTATGCTTCATGTTATCCTCTCGCTACAATGTTTGTTGAATGTGTCAGAGGTTTTGGGCATTGACGAAGCTGCTCTTGCGATTTCTTAAAATGTCCAACCACGTATTCTCCAGAAACACGAAGCGTGACCCGAGGAAATAGTCGGTCCAGGTATTCGTTTAATTGGACATAAACCTTAAATTTAATTACCTCTTCAATGGTTTTACTACTATGGTGCAGCATAATAATCGGGTTCTCCTTGAAATCGTACGATACGAGGTCTTTGCACCAGACCAACATCTACGGAAGCGTACTGCTATTATAATAGAATACGTTAATCGATCACGCCATAATTAAATTCACGGCAGGATAGTAATCAGTTGACCACACAGTGTAAATATTCATTAATTCATTAAGTTTTATCCACCTGATGCTTACTAATTTTCCAACATTAGAAAGGAGTCACTAACATTCCATGTACTTGCGTGCTCCATTTTTTTCTTTTCTTCTCTTCTCTCTCAGACACGATTTCCTCATTTCTATCTGACTCTATGAATAGAATCTAGAAGAAGCATCTTGCGGGTTACTTCTTTTACGCGTTCATGGTAAAACAGACTCTTTCAATCTGAAATTCGTTCTGACTGAATCTCAAACAAAAAGCCCTTCTTGAAGAGGCCCTCCAGAACCGGCTCGGTAAGTCGTCCCATGGTCCATATAACATTCAGAAAAGGGAGACTCAATACACAAATGGGGGGGAAACATATGCACACTGAGCCCTCCGAAAAAACAAAAAAAAAACTAAAAGAAGCCAAGAAAAGCCTTAGAATACAGTCAACCCCATTGCAAAGAGACCGGGGATGCTTACAGGATTTTACCTAGCTTATCTCCACATACAGTTTCAGCATAGGCTTAAGCCAACTTAAAATGTAATTACTTCCCTATCCAAGTTGACTCTGTTATCAATTTTAAAAAAATGTTCCATATCTTAATGAAATTCGCCGGAAACCATTGAGTTTCCTTCTTCCCGAATATCCTGATGTGACATTTGTTTATTGTGGAAAAGTCATTCAGTCAATGTCTGTATTCTGTTTTAACATGTAACAGGATGGTAACACTGCCCACATTGCTTCATTGGCAGCTACAACGTTATCTCGGCGCACCCAGTTTCCTCTGACCACGATAGTATCGTTTGACAGTTGATAACTCTTGAGTAAACGAAAGATTTTGTAAAATTTCTCAATATGGCCACTGTCCTCAGAACTCAATGGAATTAATAAAGCGATACCTGCACGATAATTCACTATTGCCATATTCCCTTAATATAATATTCTGTATGCTGTCTACGTAATACAATTGTTCTACAGCAGATCGCAAGCTCCTCTTGAAATATTTTTGAACGAAGCTTATCGGTCGTCGAAATAAATAAAACCCAATTGCGCAACCAGCTGCGTACACGCGCGTCCCACGCAAATTGCTTGGCACGGATTCTGGTCTTGCTTCCGTTAATTCAGCTCAATGGCGAATGACAGTTCAGATATATCGTCTTCCAGTTCTCATGAATGGTAGAAATCGAAAGTTGTTTCGTTTAAATGTAACTAGATATATATATATAATTGTTCTATACACACTGGGTGTACCAAAATCGTCAAGCTGTTTAAAACAGTCGTTAAACTACGGCTTTTTTAAATATAACTTTTACCTTTGAACGAACCTGTACAACTGGAGACATTTTCTAGCACCTCATATCACCACTGTTGTTTCTACGTACCTACATACATAGCTTAACGCATAAAGCCCCGTCACATTGGCCTTAGGTTGCAACCGTAGAACAGAATACCGTTGGTAGTAGTTGCACCGTTATCACGTAGAATTTTCTATTTTTGGGTCAAAACCAGGAAAGAGCTATTCTTGAGATATGGAGCGGTTAACGAGTAGGCTGCTGACGAGTGTTTATTGATTTTCGATGAGAAACTTTGACGAAGTGAGAGAACGAATACCAACCCTTAGTAGAATAGATGTATCTATATATCTATAGTGATCACTGGCTTTCCTATTTTATTTTTTCGTAGCCATGTTTCTCTCATGGCAAACCCCTTCTTATATTCCGCCCCTTCACCCTGACAGAATGGCCTGTGGGCAGGATAATTTCATCATTGAATCCCAGGTCAGTTCTTGCTATAGGGTGAACAAGGTATTATGGGTGCTTCCTACCGAATTCATGACAGGTGTCGACCTACCCCTTTTATTGGTCCTTACTATTTCTGTTTACATTAGAAAATACAGATCATCAAGGGTGTCTTTATTCGAATTTTTCTCTAACGAAATTCCTTACTTGAATACGTATTCAGTGCTATTTTTTTTTTATAAAAAAAAAATAATCCAACTCGTTGCACGTGTGGATCATCAACGTACGTATGTATATACCTCGAGCTTCTCCTTTTCCCCATGACACTTGGTTCTCTAAAATGCGCGTGGCGCATTACCAGTTTAAGGGGGGACGAAAGGGGAGAGTTGGCAAGGAATTCCGCATGGAATGCCAGGGAATCCCAGACATCGGGAAAATCTGCGGGGCGGCTGCTGCAGTCACTAATTTTAAAGTCGAGCATTTTTCGATTCCTAGAAGGATGCACTCCTGGTGTTATTGGCCCGGCTGGATATACCACGCTGTGTATATACAGGGTGGGGCATTTATAGTGACCAGGTTGATTTTTTCGAAAACGAAGCCCAATGACTCAAAGTTGGCAGGTGATATTTTTCTTATTTTTTAGAAATATCTTATCACGTGTCAATTTTTCTTATTCAAAAAATATCTTATCACCTGTCAATTTAGTGCACTTGTACTTTTAGACTCAAAATTGAATGCTCCTTTGATTTTCGAAAGAAAAATTGCATAGTCCCATTGAAAAAAAAATGGAAGTCGGCCTTTGAATTGAACGCCTGCACTCGGGAAGGAATTAAATAACTAAATCTTCTGTCTCTCTTGAAACCTTAAAACTTTTGTCCGAAACAATTTTCAATATCTGGCTTCGTTTCCGAAAAAGTCTACTTGTTCACTATAAATGTCCCACCCTGTATATAATATATGCACATACACTATAAAAACCTCAACCATTTTCTATATTACTTCGTACGTCAGAGTTTGAAGACCGAAGAACATCTGCGATTCCAATAATTCCCATCGATTCCAATTGGCCACTGTCCATCCAATTTCCGTGGATCTTTTAATATCTTTCTTTCCCGTTGCCTCAATCCTTCCACAAGGAATTTTTTTTCTTCTCCATATTTCCCTCTTCTCTCTTCTCTCATTCCAGTCGCGCCAGCTGACGTGACTCGAAACGCCAGCGGAGCGAATCGAATTCACTTCCTCTCGGAATTATTAAGGGGGCGACCAATGCGCTGACCGTTACCATAAACAGTACATACCAAAAGTATTTGTCGGCTAAAAATAATTCCACTGACATCCTAACCATCCCCTTCTGTCTTCATTCCTCTGAGTGGTCCAGTATTGGTTCAGCTCAGCGAGGGTGGCATAAAGTATACACATACATCTATATATGGCAGAAACAAACCAAGAGCGAACATCCCATGGAAGCTCCAATATTCCTCAGACATCTAGTCCACGGGGATGCTTCTGTATACCGTATGAGAATCCCATGCGTATGTGAACGCTAAAGATAGAGACCCTGCAGCTGCAAGTCAGAGGTGCCAACAGGTCGATACTCCATGAAGCGTCATACTTCGCCAAGCAGTCGAAGTCTGCTAGGCCTTTGCCCCACGATGATAAGAGACACAATCCCCCAGACGACGAAGTCTACTCGACGGTCATATACATGGGTGAGTCTGCAAGTTCAGGAGTCTCAAAACCCAAGAGGCACCATTGACTAGCATTCGATCCTGTCGTTTCGATAGGTCGATCTAGGGGAAAAAACTTAAAAAGTAACTAGATCCCTAGTTATGTCGTTAGTGCATAGAAAAAAAGTAGGAGCTAAAAAAAGTACTAGGAAAATAGGACAACCCTTATCGAGCGTCGATCGCACGCCTGATGCTGGAGGCTCCAGAGCACATATGCACAATATTGCGCACGAGTGTCGTATCACATGTGTGAGGCGACATGGTGGTTTTGTTACTGAGTTATAATTAGCCATCGTCATGCCGAGTGGAGTGTGTACCACCACAACGCAACTTGAGTAGAAGTCGACTCTGTTTCGCATCATGGTCGTATCCAATGGAGCTTCGAATGTTTGGCTATAAAATATACGAGACTTTGAATTCGTCCGGTCTAGACGGTGGAGAGTCTATGAATTTTTCCCACGTACGATCAGCTTGATAATTATCGCTTGTTATCACGTATGATAAGAATTTTTCTAAATTATATTTCATGCTTCGATTTTGGTATTGGGAATATATATGGCGTTCACTTCGAAAAGACCTTTCGTACTTCATCCTCGAGTGCCATACCACCTCGTGTACATACACTATAGTCCATTCCACATATGCTCCTCGCACATGCACTCCTTTCTCTCGTGTCGAATTCGCTCGATCGGATAATTCAATTTCACATGCGCCACCCACGCAGCTCGTGCCAGAGTGCGTAACAGTGCGCGAGTGTCACTACTCCTAGGTGTATACCATACGCACGTAGTGATTCCGAGCATGCGTGAGGGAGCACTTTACACATGTGAAAGAAGTCGGCCCACGTGGTGAGATGGCGC